GTTCTACGAACAAAGAGATTAGAGAATAAAAGAAATTCACATGGAAGAAGAACTTGAAATGTTTTAGTTTGGCTTTAACAGATCAGAACTCAGAGGAAAGGATATTCAGCATGACAAAGACAGAGAAGTAGCAATTTTCATATACCGGGATGAAGGGAGAGATTAGCTTGGCCACCACTGATGTTTTCTTAGGAGAAGCAGTGAGAAATAAACTCAGCCAGTAAAGGGGTTTGTGGTAGACAGAATAATGATCCCCCCAAAGATGTCCATGTCCTAGTCCTCAGAACCTGTGAATGTACTACCATACATGGCAAAAGGGGCTTTGCAGGTGGATTAAATCAAGCATCCTGAGATGAGGAGGTCATCTTGGATTATTCAAGTAGGCCCAATCGGGGAAGAAGTGTCAAAGTCAGAGAGAGGAGATGTGATGATGGAAGCAGAAGTGGGAATGATGTTACTGCTGGATTTGAAGATGGAAGAAGGCCGTGAGCCAAGGAATGTGGGCAGCCTCTATAAGCTGGAAAAGACAAGAAAGTGATTCTCTCCTAGAGCCCCCCAGAGGGAACACAGCTTTGCCAAGATACGTGGAGTAAGATAATAAATGTGTGTTGTTTTAAGCCACTAGTTTGTGGTGATTTGTTACTGCAGTAATAAGAAACCAATATAGGGTTTAAGATTATTGGCCTTGAGAGTCAATGTCCATGATTTGGTAGACAATACAGACCCATATTTGAGCAAAAGAATAAAGATGAAAATAGTGCTTTAGGAAAACTGATCTGCAGTAGAGAATGAATAAGAAGATAAGGATCAGACACTGTTAAAACAATACTTACATAAAGTAGTAAAACTCTGGACTGGGATGGTAGGAATAGAAAATGAAAAATTAAATGGTGCATATTATAGAAATTTGGAAGAATGAATCAACAGGACTCGGTGACACTCTGGATATGGAAGGTAGGAGAAAGGAAAGACCTCCAAGGTGTTGAACCTTGTGGCTTCAGTGCATGTGATGGGGGAGGGTTGTGTCTAAGAGAGACCTTTAAAAATATAACCACACAATATGAATTCTCAAACTTCTACAGGCATTAAGATCATCTGGGATACTGGTTTAACATGCAGATTACTGGGCTCCATCACAAACATTCCGATTCAGTATATCTGGGTGGTACCCAGGAACGCGCACTTTAATAAACACTGTTCTGATTCAGGTGATCCAAAGTTCACACTTTGAAAAATACCAATCTAGAAAAACTCAAAGAAAATGGTATCAAATACTCATCATAGCTCTTGAAGAAATGATTAATCTTATATGAAATCTGAAAGGGTGAAAATTGACATATTAAACAACATAAAAATTTAAAATGTTTGCAAATTACAATAAATATCATAGCCAAAATAAAAAAGTCCTTGGTAAAAAATACTTTCAGCAAATGGCTAATATTTTCTTAACAGGCCACACAAACTAATGAGCAAAAACAACTGAGACCCCTGGCAGATAAATGGGAAAGCACATAAATAAAATTCCAAAAAGAGGGACCACAATCATAAACAAACTTAAGAAATACCAATTAAAACAGCAACAAGGCAACAAATATTGCTTGCTAAATAAATAAATATCATTTTGGGGGTAATATTCAAAGGTGATGAGATGTATCATACATTCACACTTGCTGGTTGCATTATAATCTGCTATAACCATTTTGGAAAAAACTTAATTTGGCAACATATATCAGGAGCTGTAAAAATTGCCATACTTTTTGACAGAGAATGCTTCTTTTTATAATCTAGCTTAAGGAAATAGCCTTAAATATGGGGAAAAAATTGCATGTCAGGAAGTGTATCAATTATTAGAAGGTTACCATGTGATGCACATGATTTCATTTCTTTCATAAAACAATCCTATGAAGTTAGTTATTATTCCTACCCTAAAAATGGGCAAGCTGAGGCACAGAAAGATCATATAACTTGCTCCAAGGACTTAAAGGGCTAGGAAGAGATGAAGGCAGGCTCAGGAACATTCTGCTTCCAGAGCTTGCACACTTAACTTCCACACCATAGTTACCACCATGTGGGAACATGGTTAGCACAGCAGCATTTGTTTTATTAAAGAACGCAAGAAAAGAAAGAAGGAAAACAGCAAGTGTATTAAGATAGTAGAAATATGTGTGGGTAACAATGGGTTATTTCCCTTGCCCCCAAACTTTCTGTAAGATTTACCTTTACAATCCAAAAATTACTTGAGGGGAGGAAAATAACGCACAGAGGAAAAAAAAAAAAAAAACCACAAAACTCCTGAAATTTTCCAAAAAATAGAAAAAAATTCTAAGAAAAGTGTAAACAATTAGGATAGTGTTTTCATACTTTAATATCAACAATTATAAAAGTTTAGGAGAAGTAATAATCACTAAGAACTTTCTTCAGACAACCAGATGAACTGTCAAATGGGTAATGGTTTTAGTTTCTGCCTAAAAATTAGCTTAACAATAGCCAGGAGGCATTTTTGTGTGTTTGTGGCACATGAAGAAGAGCTGTGCATCTGCTATTCTAAAAGTGTAAAGTACTTGTCAATAGCTCATATATTATTTTAGAATTAACTTGGAGACATTGGCTAAACACTTTTAGCAAGTGAGAAATACAATGTAAAGTTAAGGTAAATCAGGTCACAGGCAACAGAGCAAATTGCATCCACCACAGAAACAGTTGAATATTTCAAGAAAATTAAATGAGAATAGATTTAATGGCATTTAAAGGGAAGATATTTTATGTAAAAACAAAACATTCAAAGCACATCACAAAATTCAAACATGGAAGTTCAGGAACCAAAATTCTAATGAAGAGAAGTTGTACAACGTGGCAGCAGGAATCAGTAAAGCTTGTATATTCTGATTTTTTTGCTTATTTCAATCCTTCTTAACATACAATTTTACAGTCAAGATTACAGGTTTATGTTTATTTTTACACCACCATTATTTGTACTTAACTGTCTTTTATAGTTAACTTTTTGCCAAATCTACTACAATTACACTGGGGCATGTAAAGGAGACTTCTAGCAGCTGCTTTCTGCTCTATAATACGTAACATTAGATAGAGTCTTTCAACTAAAGCTCTGCCCCACAAATCTCTTTTTTTCTCTATGTCCCTGCTAAAAACACGCAAAATGGAGAGATTTGAGAATTTCTACTTTCTCAACTCTAGTAGGCCTGATGATATAATTAAAAGAAGAGCAAAAATTATTAACAGAGCTGCAAAAATTGAGAGAAAAGCCCTACAAAATCTAGGAATGTTTTTCTGACCGTGAATATCTAAGAACTGCCTACAATCATGCGAGAGAGGGTCCTCTTCTGCAGAAGAAAATAAATCGTATTAGAGAAAAGAACAGGGGAACAACTCTCAACTCGTGAGAACCACAGGCAGCCTTTCTCAAGGCAGGCCTAATTGGCAGTCACCCAGCTGTGCCTGTGTGGAGTTGGTCCCCTAGTATCTGGTGGGGACAGCTGGGCTGTGTTGGGGTCATGAGGAGCTGGGCGCTGACCCGGGAGATGAGGAAGGAGGTTTGTGTGTGACAAGCTGCCTGGTCCAGACTCTGGTCATCAGAAGGACCCAGCAGAAATCTCTCTAGAATGTGTTTTCTCAAAAAACAAGTAAAAAAAAATAGAATTTCTTGAGAAGGAAGTGAGACCCAGACTCCAGGTTTGTTTTTCTTTGAGGTCCCTGCATTGATGCTTTTGTGATGCCGGCTGGCAACACCAGGCCGACATCTGAGCTCACCTGTGTTGTTTCTTTTGGAAGTTAACCCGGATATAATAAAATTTTAATTGGAGAATTAAATGTAAATTATCCCCTGCTATCCTAACAGAAAAGTGTACAGATAACTTAGAGCTCCTCTTTAAAAGAAAACAGAGGGAAATAGTCTCACTAATTTCTCAATAATATCCTGTTAAAGCTTTTACTCAATACTCTATTCTCCTGACCAAAAAAAGCAGGAAAATTTAATTTTAAAAAATGCTAAAGAACTTTTAATACAGAGTAAGCACACTATCACATCATTTACATACTGACTTTCCCAGAAAATCTGAGAGGTCTTTAATGAAATTAAAAGAACAGTGGCTTTCTTAACATTCTTACTTAGTATCTTCCCATCTAACTTTTTACTTAATAAAGTAACGAAAGTGAAGATATTGAATTATGGCATACATTGTATATGTGTGTGTGTGTGAATACATATAAATACGTCTATATGAAAGAAAAAATGATAAAATTGCACTAACTCATACACAGTGATTTTTCTGGGCAATTTCATGAGGTATTTCCAGTTATTAAGGTAATTTCAGCATCCCAATAATAATTTATAACCTGCAAAACATTAAATTTTGGTAGAAAATAAAAAAGTATTCACTCTTCTATTCTTTACTGACCATTTTTCCAAAAACTCAGCAATTCCTTTTGCATTCTTGTTTCTTTTTATCTAAGACTTTTAACGAAATGAATTTGAGAACCGAGACACTAGTCTTGTCGAGTGGCCTTTACAATTCAAATGAAGGCTACAAGCCTCCTTTTATACGTTCCCCAAACAGTCCTTGAATACATGTGACATATATGTTATCTTTTCCAGGTACAAGTAAGTATAAGTTGATTTTAATAAATTTCTTCCTATAAAATGATCCTTTGCTTTATATTTACCCTTTTTGTAAAGCACATTCAGTATATTTTATGGATAAACTAGGATCTTGTCTTATTCTTTCTGAACCTACAACACCCAGCACAGTACACTGCAAACAGCTTGCCACCTCACATCTATTTATGTAAAAGATCGTAAGAGAAAACCCACCGACTCAAAAAGCACACTTTTAAAGGACTGAATAATTTATTTTAAAAGGAAATTAACTTCATGATAGAAGAAATCATACTGTCCCAAGCACTATTAATGCTCTTAGGAACCACAGAAAGCAGTCTTAATGTTATACCATCTGCCATATAGATAAAAGGAAAAAAAAAGTTACCTTTTTGTGCAAGGCATGAAATTCGCTGTACCTTTTTTCAACAAAATGTTTTCTTCCATTCATTAGCACTTCTATCTTAAACACCTAAGGAAAAAATTAAAAAGATTAATTCCGCCCATTCAAAACCCTCAATTGTCTGATGTGGTAAGTTTGTGACCATGATATATTTCATCCCTTTAATTACAAGAGCTGATCCCCCAAAACCCAGAAGGCTCAGGAGACCCTGGCCCAACAGCTCTGATTAATGAGCACTCAAGCCAAATGCTCACTAACAAACTGCATTATCCCAGCAACGTGTCTAACAACAACGGAAACTTAAATGCGTTAAAATGCTCCAGAACTTTTTAATCAGAGAATGGTCCTCCCTTAAAATTATTTCACCCAACGCCTACGATGACATCGAAATACAAGTGTGATGCAACAGCAACAGTCTGGTAAAAATCGCAGGTCCGCGGCGTCCCATTATGAGTATTTCAGTGACAGCAGTGCTGTGTCATGTATAAGACAATCATGCAAACAGTAGTGCATTTTAGGTTAATTTCTTCCTAACCTGCATATTCATCTCTAGTCTCAGCTGGGCTTATTCTGCTGTTTGCAAAAAGGGAAGATGCAGCAAAGGTTCATTTTCCCTGCATGATCCGAGTGACAGCTTGTGCTCCCACCTCCAGAAGGTTGAAAGGCCAGATGAAAAGGCTCTCTGGGTGTGCTAATTAGTAGGCACTAACATGACATTTTCTTGATTCTTAGGTCAGTGGGTCAAGACTGGGAATAAGGGACGAGAAATATTGTGAAATGCTCATGAAAACACAATGTTAAGGTGGGGTGGTGGATGGATGCTTGGCAGGAGCTAAAGAGAAGGTGTGCTCTGTTATTTTCAAGAGTTTGTCATTGACTCCTGTTTTGCTGAGTGAGTTTGTCAACACCAAGATGAAGCAATATTGTTCAATGACTTAGTAAGCCTAATTTCCTGTCTCAATTGCCATTCTGAAAAAAACAAAACTAAACTAAAGTTGAGGTCTCAAGACTGAAGAGTATTAAAAGCACGCTTACTTTAACCCTAAAAAGAACTACTTAGAGTTAACATATGAGATACAAGGTCACACATCTTCGTTATGAAAATAGATCCCTGTGGCTCTATATTTCAGCCTTATATGTAAGTATGACTCTTTTGGGAAGCCAGAAATTATGTCATGAAACATAATATGTGTTTGTATTTTTGTACTTCTTCGAATCAGAAACAAAATCTTCTGTTGCACGACTCAGTTTAAGAAACCTGCGTTTATTAAATAAGTGGTAAATTTTTACCAATTTAATCAATATTTTATACTAACATTTGGTTTTTCAAGAAGTCTCCCTAAAAAGTAGTTTTCTTTGGCGAATCACTGAAAATTTTTCTTCTAAAAACATATGCATATGTTTCAAACTCGCAGATATAAGTACACTATTTTTTTTTTAGAAAATAATTCTGTTTACTAATTTGCTAAAGAAAATTATTCTTCTTCAAAAACCTTGCCAGGAATAGAATGAGGAAAATACCCTGAGAAACACAAACAAAAGAAGCACAGCTTCCATTGGAGGCTTTGTTAATATGATACAGAGCCCCTTTTTTCAGTGTCAGGGCCCAGATTTAAATCAGGACAATGTAGCAGCAATGACAGCAGTTTCCATCTGCTGAGCCGCATGAAATAAAGGAAGTTATCTTCCGAGTTCAGTTACTTGAGGCTTCATCACAAAAACCACCACTTTAATTGGCATGTTTGTTGCAGAATCCATAAAGGAAGGAGAAAGTTGAGGACTCGGTAAGGCTCAACCTACCAGGTCACCCCTCAAGGTGCCCCCTCTTGAAGGCCAGGGATAAGACACTACACAACAGCTGCTCATGGAATGTCATCCCTTCTATCGACCAGATGGTCCCATCACCAAGTTCCACAGTTACTTTTCACAATCACTAAATTCAGGGGGCAAGGGGAGGAGGTACACACACACACAGAGGAAAGTATATGATAAATTTTAATTCTAATATTTTTATTATGTTGCCATTTAAAAAATGCACAATTATACCTCATATTGTGAAGACTTACTTTTAAATTCTGAGAAAACATTTTGGAAAGGAAGTTGGTTAATCAGAATTTCCATGACAATGTGAAGCATGAAATGGAGTCAATTTAATAAATCCTGTTTTCCTGAATTCCATACCAGATTTTTTTTAAAGAGTTTCTGATACACGTTGTCTCTGCTGCCTGGAAAACCTGTTCCTGCTTTGCTCTCCTGGCAAACTCGCAGTGGTTGTCATCTACCTCTAAGGTGTGGGCAGCACAGGATGATGTAGGGAAAGCACGCAGCACAGTATCTGGAATCCATTCATTTATTTAACAGGTATTTACTGAGTGACTACAACGTGCCCAGGAGTTGTTCTAGGCTCTGGGGATTCAGCAGTGAACAAAACAGACAAGAGCCCAGCCTCATGGAGTGTACATCCTATCTAGAGACGGAGGCCGACTATACACATGTGAATGAATATGGTGAAGTCAAGACATAAGAAGTGCTGGGAGGAGCAATGCAGCAGGGTAAGGAGACAGAGCTGGACAAGGGTGCTGTTTTAGACAGTGTAGTCAGAGAAGGCCTCCGTGAGCAGAGAGGCGGCGAGAGGTACAAAGTCCCTGACAAGAGTTGAATGTGGCTGCCTTTGAAATTTTGGACTGGGAGTGGGTGGACAAGAACTATTTGTTTTCAATCTTATTTTTTTAAAAAATTTTAAGTTAAAATCTAGTGCAGGATGATTTCCACTTCTGGCCAAGATGGAGTAATGGGGAGCAGATTCACCCTCCTACTAAAAACTGGGACAAAATATGTGGAAAAAATGGCTCTCAAGACATTGGACATGAGGAAATGAAGGACTGTAAGAGATGGGAAACAAACAAGGTGAGCCCTATGATTATCCCAGGCAGAGCCCTGAGGTCCCCTGAGTTAGGGAGAGGGAGGGGGGAGTCCGGGGAAGCCAAGGTGGTTCCAGTTCTCAGGGCAGGGTATTGAAGAGGAGTGAGCTACACACAGAGAGGACTCCTGCAACCTGCCAGAGGTCTCCCTCCAGCAGCTGAATCCCCATCAGCACATGGGACGGGGGCAACTACCTGAGGATGGGAAGAGATTAGAGAGAACAGTGCTCAGAGCTCACAGACAACTGGGCATAGTGCCTATTCCCAAAAGCCAGGGTAGAAAACCTTATCATTCATGAGGCATTAGAGACTCAGGAGGGTCTTGCCTCAGTAGTGGGGCAAAATTAGCTGTAGACTAAAAGCTCTTTTAGACTAGTGTAACAAAGCTTAAAAGCTAGACCTGAAGAAAGCTAACTTTCCGAGTAACTTAACTGCATGTCAAAACAAAGCTCAAAAATATTTTTAGGAATATAAAAATATCCAGCACCCAACAAGTTAAAATTTATAAAGTATGGCATCCAATCAAAAAGAAATAGGAAAATTCAACTCATAATGAGAAGAAAAACCAATTAATACAAACTGATCCAGAAATGATACAGATGATAAAATTAGTACACAAAGTATCAAAATCATTATTATAAGGGACTTTCTTATGTTCAAGAATCCAGAGGAAAGGCAGACCATGTTAAGTGGAGGCATGGAAGATATAAATAAGAAGACAATAGGTCTGGGTCCTGTTGATGAAATCAACAATGTCTATGATTTAAAAAAAAACATAGCTGGGATTAATAGCTGATTAGACACTGCAGAAGAAAAGATAAATAAGCTTAAAGACCCAGCAATAGAAAATGTCCAAAACGAAATAGAGAGAGGGAAAAAACTAAAAAATAAATAAACAGAGCATCAGTGAACTACGGGACAACTTTAAACAGCAAAACGTACGTATAATTGGAGTTCCCATAAAAATGTGTGTATAATTATGTATAAAGGGAGTCCTCTTCCCATAAGGGAGAGAAGGGGTCAGGGGTTGGGGAGAAAGACATATGAATTTGAAGAAATCATGATCAAAATTTTTCCCAATTTGATGGAAACTATAAACCCACATCCAAGAAGACCAATTGACCCAAGCACAAGAAACATGGGGGGAAAAAAACAGAAATTCAAGGCAAAAAATAATTAAATTGTTTAAAACCAGTAAGAAAGAGAAAATCTGAAGAGCAGCCAGAGAAAAAAGAGACACTATGTAGAAGAGGAAGAAAAATAAGTTTGATAACAAATTTCTCAAATATTTCTATAAATAACCAAGCTTATAAGAGTGATTCAATGCATACATACTTCAGTTATGTTTTAAACTTAATAGAAATATGTTCTATGTAAAGTAGCATGCATAAAGTAAAATGTACAATTTAAGGCCAATTAAATTTTTAATCATTATTTTTAAAGTTTTTAGGTAATTTTTCCCAGTCAAATGCTAATAATAGTAATAACACTAACAACAAAGACTTATATAGCACTTATCATGTGCAGGCACTGTTCCTAGCTCTTTACTCATAAGAATCACTCATTTAATTCTCACAACTTCATATGAGATAGGTACTATTATCCCCATTTTACAGGTAAGGAAACTGAGGCATGGATTAAGTATCTTGCCCATGGTAGAGGTGCATTTTGAACCCAGAGATCTGGTTCTTGAATCTGCTTTCTTAATCACTGCACAATACTGACTCCCAGTGAACAGCTTCCTTACATGGTCCTATTCACTGGGGGAAATAAAACACTTGGATGTGGGAGAAATCCCAGGATCATTCTGGAGTGATGACAATACCCTCCATCCATTCTCCTCCCAAGGTTCTATCTTCTGGAGGGGGCTTTGCAAGAACACAGGACACTTGGCAGGGAGGGTGGTGGTGGTGGCAGGAGGTCTCTACCTCCAGCTATTTGGAGCCTGTGATTCTCTCAATCCAACCAGAACACTGATCTATATAAAAAGCATAGAACAATGTAGAGCAGAGTGATACTTCTTTATATTACCTCTTCTTATCAGGATCTGTGCCCACACCACCCCCTCAATCTCCTTACACTGTGGTTCCAAATCTTAGCTTGTATGGTTTTTGCTATAAAAATAATACGTGCTTATGGAAAAAAAATTTCAAAAAGTCCAAAGAATATAAACTGAAAAGTATAAATTTCTTACACAAGAGAATTGTCTAAGTCCTTGCCAACTCAAGAGGCATCATAAATATCCTTTTAAAAATTGTCTATATACATATAAGCTCTGTATGTACACATATATACAGAAATTATTTTATTTTCTTACACAACTGAAGCCACATCATATAGTTCTACTACTTTACGTTTTTTACTACTTTTATTTTATATATTTAAAACACATCGGGCATCTTTATCAGGACATTTTGACATGCCTCATTCGCTAATGGCTACATAGTATACCTAGGTATGACTGTTATCATACTTATTTAATTAGGACCCTAGGGCATATAATAAGTTACTGTACTATTTTGCTCGCGTTCTCTCTCTATATATCATCCTTGTTCCTGTATGTGGACTTACATACATACACATACAGAATAAATTACCAAAAATTTTGCCCAATTTACCCTCTCGAATGTCCTAAGTTACACTGCCACCAATAGGATATAGAATGTCTGGCCCATCCTGATTAACACTGGCCATTAGTCACTTCAGCAATCTGATGAGTGAAATGAGAACTAACTGGGTATATTTTGACGAGTGTGTATAGTGCCATAAGTTTCCACTCCAACTATCTCACATAAAAGTACATAGAGGCTCGA